CAGCCCTGACTCTGAGCGACTGACTTCTATAATTCAGCATCTGAGATCATTTGGCAGATGGGGTCTTTTCATTTGTAGACTGAGGGACTCACATTTATCTTTAGGGCTCTCCGAAGATTAGGAAGCATCCAGAAAAAGACTTAGATCTTAAAAATCATTAAGTGGATGGGAGGAGATACTTTGTGAAAGCACAGAGCATGGTTCCTACATTCAGGGGGAACCACAAATGCTAGCTAGTCAATGTTTTGTTCTTGAGTCCTCATACGCTTGAATTTCTCTATACCTGAGATACCTTTTGCTGTCACATGTGCTGGACAATACTCCACTTAGCCTTCCCCTAGAGTCTCTAACAGAGCTTGCCTCTATGATGTCAATGGTTATCCTGTATCATCGTGCCTTTGTATCATGCATCAGTGTGCTTTCGATTTCTCCTCTGAACTTTTATTTCCCTAAAGGAAGCTATATTTTTCTCGATATACTCAATTTTTGGCAACAGACTTTCTACATGACAAAAATGTAAGTATTCAATTAATAAATGGGCAAATGGAGATTTCTAATTGAGACTTCAGAGTCAAAGACAAATGACACACAGAGATAATTTACAAAAAGTAGATGCCCGAGGTTGTATCTTTGAATGACAGTACTGGGGGAGTGAGGCAGGAGAAGGAAAGGGGAAGGGGGAGCTCTGAGGAGGCAGTGGACCTGAAGAAAGTCAGAGGAAGGGCAAGGTGTGTGAAGAAGCAGGCACATGTAGAAGAATCGCACAGAATGGGAGGGAACTCAAGGAAGTGGTCAGAAGTATTAATAAGATGATTTACATAGACCGTAGACAAGCAACTTCAGAATCCATTAATGAGGTATTTGAAGACAGAGTCAGAGAGCTGGCCAAGGGGGATACAGAGTTAGTGGTTAGTGTGCACTGTTTTGTTGATAACTCACCAAAGATAAGGAAGAAAGGAGGGTAATGAAAATGTTCTTTAGGATAGGGTCCTGGCCTACCTTTGAGTGAATGGGCCTCCTCGGCTTTCTTTGTGCTATGAAATGTCAACTTCTCTTCCTTGTTTGCCATTTTCATTAAGCTTCTCGGACTTACGACTTTGTCAACAAACTTTAGTAACTACTGCCTCTACTCTTTGTGATTATTTATAACATAGCAACTCTATTTCTATAATTTTTTCTATGGAAGTTCATCCTTGTATCCACCCACCCATTCATCTATCAGTCTTTCCATACAATAAATATTTATGTGGCCATGATTAAGATCTAGATGTTCTCCTTTAGGAGTTACTTGTAGAGGACAAAGATTGCTCTTAGGAGTTGTTAGTCTCATTACAAAGATCAGAACCCACTGGCTTAAAGATTAAACCTCTTCTGGGGATTTCTAGTTTCATTTTTGTAAGTTGCAGCCACCTGTTAGCATTTGCGATTTCCTGGTGTTGGTTTTGAAACAATTGCTCAGTGAAGGCTGGGTTCTGATGAGTTGAATAAGCTTGAGGCTGATCGCTTCCTATTTATCCTTAGAGTCAAGACCAAGCCAGAGTCCAAAGGAAACAGGCTGTGTGGTTTAGAAGCCTCCACAAGAGACTTGTGTGTATTATTCACAGCTTGTCATTTGCAGTCAGAGACATAGGCTGCCCTCTAACATCTCTGAGGAAGTTCATGATTTATTGGAGGCAACAGAAGAAATATAAAGCTAAATAGTAATCTAACCCCTCTGGGGGAGTCTTGCTTCTGTCTTTTACATAATATGAGGACCTCAGCAAATAGTTTCCCTGAGATTAAAAAAAAAAAAAAACAAAAAAACTTCAGCAAACATTCAACTGCAATGTTTGAGAACTGAAACCATTCATGTTTTTTATGTTGTAAGACTTGAGCCTCATCCAAACTTCTATTTAGATATCAAATTTTGAAAAATCCCCCAGTAGAAAGGAATAGGATGTCTGTGGTATAGGCAACACGGTACAAGCCACTATAACCCCAATCTTAGAGACTGTGGGCAGCTCAGACTCTTCCTCTTTGGTCCTTCCTGTAGGCCATCTAAACAAGCCTTAAAGATACTTTATTTCATGGTTCTTCATGAACAGAAGGAAAGAAACATATCAAATGGCCAGTGTTTCTGAGAGATCATACTTTTATAATTTAAGAACAAGTTTTGTTACAGACAACAGCAAATTCAACTCTAAGAGACTGAAGCTGCTGAGCTGGACTTCATTTTTCTCAAATAACGAGAAGTGTGGAGGTCAACAGCCCAGGGCTGGCACAGTCACTGGCTGGTACTGTCAGGTAGTCCTCTGCATCTTTCTGTCCTATCATTCTTCATGTGCAGCTCTGAGCTTCCTGTTTTCAAGTCATCTTCCAAGCAGGAATAAAATGGATGCCAAAGCCTTTCCCTGGAAAAGAAAGGGATGTGCTTCCTGTGGTCTCTACTGAAGCTGTCTTGACCACAACATAGCTGTTCTTATTTGAAAGGTGAATAGAGAACCCAAAGACACTAAGGGCTCCTCAGACCCTGTATTAAAGGTAAAGGAACTGGTGCTGGGATTATATGTCTACTAAGCCACTGTTCAGTATCTGCTGTGACACTCTCAAAAAGATCTTGGAATTTTTGAAGGATGAATTGTGGTTGTTTGTTTGTTTTAAGTGATTGAATTAAAACTACAGACTAACAGCCAAACCTCAACAATTATGTTCTGTATATAATGGTATCTCTATAGGGTTTTTCATAACATTTGATTAAGAAGCATGATGCTGGGATACGGGTATAGTTCAGTGGCAGAACACCTGCCTAGCATATGTGCAGCCCAGAGTCTGATGCCTAGCCCCCAAGGAATAAAAATAAAAGTGTAACGCTTCATGACATATCAATCTGAAATGTCAAGAGGGAGAGAGGAGGATGGTGGGAAGGGGAAAGAGCGGAAACTCTTGTTTTCTTGAGAACATGAAACAGCTTCTGCCTTCAGTGCTTCCGAGTGATAGACTCTGGGCTAACAGAGGGACTGAAGTGCCACTCCAGTTGGGAGCAATAAACTAACAGAGAGTTGTCCTCAAAGTAGAGGAAGCTGTCTAAATGCTTGGGATGACATTTGTCATGAAAGTAGAATGTCCAGTGTAGTTGCCAAGACAACATGTTGCCTTGCTCCAAACACTTCTGTAGCTCTTGCATGACAGTCTGCTTAGCTGCCTTGGGTGATGGATGTGCACGATCCTGTGAAAACTTACAATTCCACACTCTCCACACTCTTCCTCTGGGTACGTGTGGTGGTAGTGGCAGGGATGTGTATGTGTGTGTACATGCATGCAGAAGCTACAGCGGAACACCGGCTAACTTCTTCTATTTCCTTCTGCCTTGTTACCTTAAGACAGGATCTCTCACTGATCCAAAAGCTTGCCATTATTTCTAGGCTGCCTGGTAAGCAGGCTCAGGACCCAACTGTCTCAGGAGTCAGGGTTGGGGATTTAGCTCAGTGATAAGAGCACTTGCCTAACAAGCGCAAGGCCCTGGGTTTGGTCCTCAGTTCTGAATAGAAAAAAAAAAAAAAAGACAAAATAACTGTCTCAGGAGTCAGTCCTGGCTGGGTCTTCATTCTTCCAGAGAAAGCACTCTGACTCTCTGGACCACCTCCCCAGCCCCTTGTATCCTCCACTTTTAATTAGGGAGTTAATTTAACACATTTCAGGAATCTGATTACTAAAATATGAATTTCCTCTGCCACACATGACGAAATTTGTTCTCCTGTCTCTTTTCTCTTTTAACAGTGAAGCTAGAGACAGGAGGAGCTCTGAGCATCCCTTAAAAGTGGGCTTTCAGAGACAAACAATACACTGTCTTATATTTGCCTTGTTAAAAAAAAATGTCCAGAGATAGTGTTGAATTCTACCCATACACACACACACACACACACACACACACACACACACACACACAGTGGAGGAAGATGGAGATGAACACAGAGACAAAGACTGAGAGACAGAGACAGAGACAGAGACAAGGACTGAGAGGCTCAGTCATTGCCAGAAGACTTGACTCGTAAGGCCCAGGAGAATAAAACATCAGGATTGGTGGCACTGGGACTGAACCAGGAATAAAGCAAGTAAGGAGAGAAATCTCTTTAGGACAACTAGCATTCTTGTTTGCTTGTCTGTCTTACAAAGTCCTGAGAATATCCAAGAAGATAAACAGACGAACAAAAAGGATTCTAGGTCTATGAGTGCCTTAAAGTTCCCTGCAGCTTATCTGTGGGCAGCCTCTCTCTGAGAAAGCAAAGGAAGTCAATGTCTTGCAGAAGCCATATGATTTAATATTCCTCATAAATCTAGAAGGCTGCCAAAGAAGGTGAGAGGTGGGGAGGTTGCCCACTGCCTGGGCTTGCACAGCTGTGGAGGGGTAGGTTAGGTGTGAACCCTAGTTTGTGAGACAGTAACTCCTCAAGCTCTCCTTCAACATAAACTTTTAGAGTCCTATCCCCTGGCCTTGTCTGAAGTCCCTTGGCTTGTACTGCAAAGCAGTCTCTCAGTCAACTTTTGGAGACAGAGAGAGAGATAGATGGTGGGATACCCTTTGTCCCCCATTGCAAAGACATACGTTGGCAGCTCCTTCAGGAGAAAACATTGGATGCTGACCAAAATGGCTACAGAGTTCAGTAAAGTCACTTCCCTAGTTCCATCTGGAAGCTCTTCAGAGGCATAATTTCATTCCAACCAAATGTAATTAGGAATTTGATTTGATTAAAAACCAAATCGAAGGAGAGAAATGAGGCTTCTCCTCCTTCCCTCCCTTTCTTCACAAATAGGGCTCTCATTAACAGGGCTTGTGCATGTGACCTTAAGGGTCAGCTTCCCTTTGCCCCTGGCCAGACATCCTAAAGAACCATGGCCCCAGGAGGTGAATGGGGGAGAGGCACGATTCCTTCAAGAGAATGCTAAGGATTTTTAAAATTCTGATTTTGCTTCAAGATACTAGAAAAGGACAGCAGCTGTACACCCTCCGTGGGAATGAGACGTCCACTTAATTAAAGCACTGGAAGGCAGTGGGTGAGCAACTCTCTGGGAGGAAGGCTGGGGTTCTTATCTCACCAGGGCTTTAGTCAAGAGAAACAGCAGCAGGCAAACAGCTCTGGCCTCTTGGGAGCATGGGTGTCTCAGTCAAGTTTGGTGGACGAGAAAAAAGAGAAAGGTAAGAGAGGAGAGGACCCTTGGCTCACTGTATTATTGGCCATGACCCAAATAATTTCTCTCTGACCTACTCCATCTTATCTCCAAGGCTCTAATGAGAATTGTGTGGTGAGCTTTTGATAAAGGGCAATTCAAAATGAGAACAGAGAGGTCAAACATTGCAGGCTGCGGCTGTCAGTTTCTGTCCAGACGCACCATCTTGCGATTCTCTCTTGTTTGTGGGAATCTCCCTTTATCCATTTTCTGAATCTGTTTTCTTCCTTCTCGGGAGAAGCCTTGAGTGCATGTGAGGATGGCTAACAGGAGCTGGAGAGCAGTGTCCAGTGTTCCTGGGTGGATAAATTAAGCCGGAAGTTACTGCAAAAGAATTGGGCACAAGGAAAGTTCTGGGACTCACAGCTATCATAGAGATGGTACTGAAATACGGACTTGGGAGGGCTACACTGGTTCTACGGTGTGAATCTCACGCCCATGTTCAGCACCCCTTCATGAACCGACACTCTGTTTCCACCGCATCATTTCTAGACGATCCTCCTTCGAGTCTCAAGTTTGTTGACTCCTGGATGCAAAGAGGCTGTTGCGGGTCCAGGCACCATGCATTTACGCAAAATAAGAAAGAGTATAACCGGTGGCTTCACTCCTGTTTCATCTCACCAGGAAAGCAAAAATTTCCCTTGAAGTCCAAGAAAACTCTTTATTTCCTTGGCCAAAATTGTCCTGCAGTTACCCAGGAAGTACAAAGAGACTGGGAATGTAAGGGTTGGGAAACATTGCTAATCTAATTCAAATTGGAGTCCATAAGAGAGACAGAGGCGATGGCTACCAGGTAAGCAGAGGATAGAGCATCCTGGGGGTGTTTTCAACTACAGACTGCTACAGCCATCTAGTAAAGAAAACTAAAGCTACTTCAGGCAAACTAAACAGAAGAAATTTGATGCAGCAATTTGTTATCAGGCTGGGAAGTATCAGGTAAGCCAAAGAAAGAGGAAGGGAGAGAGGAGAGGGGGGAAGGGAGGGAAAGAGGGGAGGGGAAAGGGAAGGAAAGAGGCAAGAAGAAGGGGGATGATGAATTTATTCAGACATTAAGGACTGCTAATGATCTACACCAGGGCTACAATTATATAGAGAAAATGTTATAACCCCCAACCCAGGGTCGCTGTTTTCCTGCTCAGTTGGTATATGTGCTGCCACCAAGATTCAAGAAGCCAGAAGCCTGTGATATCACCGGTAAAGACTTAATACTCTGACATGACTGCTATAAAATGTACCAAACGCATTAAGGTGCTCAGGTTGCCCACAAGCCCAGAACGGCCCCTTGCAGCTTCCAAGGTGCCAGGAGGAACATAAGACTTCACCCCCTTTTCCAGCACCCTCTTCTCCCAGTTTTCATCACTGATGGAATCTAACTGGCAGCTAGCAGGTGTGGGTATTGACCAGGGAACTCTTCTCTGACTTCCAGCCCCTGTATGAGCCATCTTCCAGACAGCACAGTGGGTCAGAATGGTGTGGAAGTGTGAAGGTCAACCTCGTGAAGGAAGGTGTGGGATGGAGAGCGAAGTGCCACAGACTCTCGTGACTTGTGGAAGAGTCCTGACACCAAACTAGATCTAAGATGGTTTCTGGAGCACAGGTGAGACAGTAAAAAGGAACTGAGGCTAAGGCGGTGACTGCTTCCCCCCCCCCCCTCCAGAAGTCCTAACTGCCCAGGAAGTCCTAACTGCCCAGCTCCTTCTGAGTTACCTCATCAGACAAGGCTTTCATTGGGGGCGTGGTGAGATATGATTGGCTGAGGAGTTAGGGGCTTGGGGATTGGCTCAAACACTGACTCCGGTGCCTCTCAGCCCCTTCCCCATCCTCAGTCCTGTTCCCACAGAATGATTCAAGACAAATGATGGCCCAGGCATGATCCCCTGAAAAGACGGGGAGAGGTCGGGCTTAATCCCACTGGACTTGCGAAATGGCTTCGTCCTCTGCCTACACTGACTGGTCAAGGAAACGGAGAGATAGGTGACAAGAAAAACCCAACTTCAAACATTAAGGGGGGGGGTGCAGGGGGTAGATCCAGAGATACTTTTAGTCATATGTCCAGATAGCTAGATACTCCATCAAAGTTTCTTTCATTTATTTCTATTTTAGAAGACAAAGAAATTTGAACAAATGGATAGATATTTTAAAAAGCATGTGATGTTAAGTTTCAGGTTTGATATTATTTGAAAGTATTAAAAAAGATAAAGACTTCTGTCGATGGTCTGGGCTGGAGGATCCCTCCCTGTGATTTAACTCTGTTAGAGAATTAGTCTCCCAATTACTTTTTAATTTTGGAATATGTATATTGTATGTCCGTGTGTATTTAGATGTGTGCAAGTACACACATAGGGAGGTGTGTGTGTGTGTGTGTGTACAAATGTATGGAGGACAGAGGGCACCCTCAGGTATCATCGCTAAATCTGTTATCTCAGTATCCTGGAGCTTGTCACCTAGCAAGTCTTGGACCTATCTGACTCTGCCTCCCTAGTGCTGGCATTACAAACAATGCCACCGGGCTTGGCTTTCTAAATATGAGCTCTGGAGATTGACTTAGGTCCTTGTGTTTGCAAAAGGCAAGCACTTTACCAACTGAGCCAGCTTCTTAGCATAAGTCTCACAATTCTTTTTTAGCAGTGGGTTTATTTAGGTCATTAAAAAGAAGCCACAGTAAGCTTGCTCTGGTCGTATTTTCTCTCTGTGGTCTCTGTGACCTGCCATTTTAATGCAAGACCCTGTGCACTGTGGTAGTAGACAATTGTCTGCAAGAGACATTTGCAAATATTTTGGCTGGGGAATGTTAGCTTCTGGGACAATTAGGAACATCCAGTACCGAGGGCATATGTGGATACCTCTTTCCATATAGGAGTATGGAGTGAAAACCTGAGATTTGAAATTTTCACCTATGTGCAGATTAAAAAGGGAGAATCAATATGCAGATGAAGAATCTTGGGTAGGCAAACCCAGAGGCCTCTTGGCCTCAATTAAAAACTCATTGGAAAATATAAAAGCTCGTGCACAGAGTCAAAGCAGAAAGCTGCCTGAGACAAGAGCCCAAGTTTGGCTGAAACAAAAGGCCAGGAGTTGAGTTTGGGGACAGAACTGGAAGGGCAGGACAATAACTCGTGACATTAACAATGGGCCTTTATATTTGTGGAGCAATTCAGGGCTTATGAGATATGTTTGTATAATCTTTTCAGTCTCCTGTGCTCTGCATTCCACCTGCTGCAGAAGTTAGGTGTTTCAGTGATCCACTACTGTGTAGCAAGCTTGCCAAGGTCAAAGCTTGCCCAAGGTCAAAGCTGTAGAGTGGCATGTTTCTTGGTTGACTGGGGATGCTGGCGGTTGGTGGGGAGCTTGGCCAGGATGCTTGCCCTAATGTTTGCAGGTAGCCTTCCTAGGTGGCTTGGGATTCTCAGAACCAGGTACTAAGTTGAGGGAAAGAGAGAATGAGAGAGAGATTGAGAGAGAGAGATTGAGAGAGGCAGAGACAGAGAGACAGAGACTGAGAGCCAGAGAGAGACAGAGAAAGACAGAGAGACAGAAAAAAACTGAGAGAGACACACACACAGAGACAGACAAACAGACAAAGACTAAGAGAGAATAAATATCTCAAATGTGCCAAGTTTAAGACTGAATACAATTTGTACACAGAAGATATTATGGGTTTTTTTTTTTTTTTACTAGTCTCTTGACCACAGTGGTTGGAAGTGGGGCAGAGGAGAGAGGAAGGTAGCCCCTCCTCAATATTTGATATTATGTTTTTAGCACTGAATGCTTCAGAAGGCTCCTGAGCCTTACTTGGCATGAAGAGTCTGTCACCTTAAATATCAGTCCCAAGGGACCCTTAGAGCACACTGTAACACAGAGAGCAGGACATGGGGATAAACAGTTGCCTCAAGGTCCAGGGCTAAGTCAGAGATCTAACTGCCCTGAGCCACACCACCAACTGCCTCTTTGAGGAGAGTCCGGCCTGTTTGTGTTTTCTACTCTTCCTTGCTAGCTACTGCTCACATACTGGAAGCAGTAGATTATGTCTTCTAGCATGTGACAATGGTTTAGAAACAAAACAACAACTAATGAACTCACCCAAAGCTGGAAACTCTTCTGTTTTATCTTTGGGAAGGGCAAGGGGTTCAGGGGGTGAACATCTAGTCGTGTTATTAATGAACCCAGTCTGGGTCCTGTCTTCTAATGTTCCAAATCGACAGGCACGCCACTCTCTGTCAGAGACCTGATTGCAGCTCATTAAAGCAGTGAGGAAGGGGACTGCCATTAGAACCAGGAGGCAGGACTTTGTTCAGCTTGTCTCTTGACTTGGAGCCCACAGCTACCTAAGACTCATAGTATGAAGCCCGTGAGTGGCCTGGAGGTGAGTGGGAGAGGGGGCCTTTTGTCTGTCTGTCTGTCTGTCTGTCTGTTTCTCTGCCCTCACTCAGCACTTTCTGCCTCACCACTCCCTTTCCTCTCCTCCTCCCCCAACTCCAACATCAAGATCTGATTATATAAGGTAGGGTCAGAGAGACATGGCCTCTGATTTCTTCATAAGTATAGACAAGGTTTATGAAGAGGGATTGGCTTATGCAGCCATGGACGTTTGCAAGCCCAGAGATCTGCAGGGTGAGTCAGCACACTGGAGACCCAGGACAGCTGTCATTCTAGCCTACAATAGGATGGCAGGAAAATTCCCCCCAAACTCACAAGAGGGTCAGCTCTTTGTTTTCTTCAGATCCTCCTCCCTTAGCTTGTATAGGTCCACGACACACTGGGGAGCAATCGGCCTCATACTGAAACATCTACAGAGACATCCACACCCCCCCAAAAAAATATATGACCAAGCACCAGAGAAGCTATAGGCTAGTCATTACTTACAATCAATTGTCACAACAGACATTGGGCACTGCCAGGGGTGGCCATGGGCTGTAGAAATGTTATCATGAACACAGCGAGATACCTGTGTCCCTGAGCTGGCTGCTAAGACATGAAATCTGAGGCATGGACAGGCCTTCCAATCGCCTGTCAACCTCCCATTGCCTTTTCTGTATTTTCCTCTCCAGCTTGTATCTAAACACATCTCCCAACCCTTCTCCATCACCCCTTGTCTGCTGTGAACTGCTGATTTTGTCCTAGGATTTCATAGCTCAGGACATTTGTATGTGCTGTTTTCTCTGCCTTGGACGACCTTACCTCCATTCTGTGTCTGGAAATGTCTATTTGCCTTTTCAAGCCTCAACTGAAATGTTATTATGGAAGTTAATAATTCGGAAACAAGGAGGACTGTGAGATTGTGAATGGCGCTTAAACTGTCTGACTGTTTGATATAACCAGTGGTAGCATTCGTATTTGTATCAACTCATTTCTTTGGCCAGCAAATGAACACTTTTAAAGACACCAAGCATATGTCAGGCTCTGGAGTAAGTGCTGAGATACAGGAAACCAAACAAGGTCTGTGGAGTATGTATTTCAAGAGGAGACACACAGAGATCCAAATCAGATAAATACACATACACACACACACACACACAGAGAGAGAGAGAGAGAGAGAGAGAGAGAGAGAGAGAGAGAGAGGATAAAACTGACAGCCTTTTAAAAGGAGCATTTATACATTTAGCTGAGGCGGGACTGATGACAAGAAAGACCCATGTCCATAGAAATTAGGGGGAGGTCATTCAGGGAGAGCAAATGGCAGAGCAGAGACTGTGAGTCTATGAAGAGCTCGGGGAATCTGAGGGACAGTGGGAAGGCACAGGGGCTGGAGAGAGTTGGGAGAACAATGGAACAAAGCAAGGGCCAGCCAGGGAGGAGACCCTGGCTTGGAGCTGTTGCCCCTGCCATCCTGGGTACACATAATTCTTGTCCTCTTGTGTATAGTCTAGCTTTATAGCTGTCTGAGGCTTCCTGAGGAAGGCTGGACTGTCTACTTCAGAAGCAGAGTAGGCTTGTTCCTGGATGGCAGTCTGGAAAGTTTGCTGAAAAGCTTATCACAACCCTGTACCTCATGAGACCTATGGGCCCCTTGAGGATGGGAATCCCATCCATTTCTTCATCCTTGCATCGCCAACTCCCATCCCAGACAGAGGCATAGTGGGCACTCCTTACCATGAGTAAATCTTGCTCCTTCATGGGTTTAGGTTAAGCTTTACCTCTTGAGGTGCACATGGGAGAGGGGACAGGCACGAAGGCTGAGGGCACAGAAAACTGTGAAGTTCCCAATAGTTATAACAAGTTATGTACTATACTGTTCCCTGACTGCAGAGGCTGTCTGTGTGTCTGCTTTGGGGGCTCGTCTGTCCTGCTGTTCCAAGATTAACCCTTTCCCCAATATGGTCTGCTTAGCTATAACCTGTTTTATTTATGTGTGCGTGTGACTGGTCTCATTTGAAGGGAACCTAGCCTTAGGTTCCTTCAGTACATTTCTTTTCAAATGATTCACTTATATGAGACATTGTCTTTGCTTCCGCCTTAACCTACTCTTCTAAACTGTTTCTGGAAAACACAGCCACAACTTTGGTTTGTTTCACAGATCATTTAAACAACAACAACAGCAACAGGGGGAAATTTAGTCTCCTTTTAGCCTGACCGTCCAGCAAATTACAGAAGAGTGGTTTGCTGTGGTTTGGCGTTTGTTCTTTAGGTCCCTGGTGGAGGCACAGATGTTGGAAAAAATGGTAGGGAGTGGGGAGGTCCCCCAGTAAGTGGGGAGGGAAGAGGGTTCTGACTGAGAGGAGACAGGTGGCTTAACAGGAAAGAGAGCATCAAAGAGGAAGCAGCAAGGAGCAGGCAGGAGAAGCTTGCTGCTATCAAGCCCTCAGGGCCGAAGATCAGGGAAAACATAAACAACAAACAAACAAATGATTACCCATGGTTGCCAAGGCTGTAAATGAGCTGTTAGGACCTTGGTGTTGTCTAGGGCTATATTTTATTTATCACCCCACGTTTTTTTCAAGGGAGGCTTCTGGGACCTCTTATGGACGTCACCAGCTGCTAGAGAACTAAGGGGATGGTTGATCTCATTGGATGACCTGATGCCACTGGTCAAGTGAGCACCCTGGACATCTGGAATGTTCCCAAGATCCCCCAGGTGGTTCTGAAATGCAGCCAACTTTCCAGGCCACTGAGTTTAACGATGTAGAAAAATAGAGCACAAAAAGGCGAAATAGAATTAGTAGTAAATGAACGAGGACAGTAAGACAGTAAGAAGGGGCCTCGGAGAGGGTGGGAGGGGCTGGAGCAAGCGGGGATGGGGGATGGGGGTGGAGGGACAGTGGCGCAGGGCCAGAGTGAGTGAGGCCGGAGCAAGAGGGACAAGGGAGGGGGAAAGAAAGAAAGAAAGAGAGAGAGAGCTCCAGACAGACAGACAGACAGACAGATAGATAGACAGACAGACAGTAAGGAGATCCAGGCAAGAGAAGTGTAAGCTGGGAATGAGGTGGTCCCATCAGGCTGCTGTGTGTCCATGTTTTGAATACAAGTGAGTTTATTAGGAAGAGTCCCTTAATGTCAGGTCCTAAGGTGACAAGAAATTCCTCTGGTGATTGCCACAGACAGTATATTCTGCGCAAGGAGCTTTTAGGCTACAAGCTAACCATCAGCTCGAAAAGCTGGATGCTTCCTTGGGTTATTAATTAGCTCTCAGTTTTTTAAATCAATTGCACATCCAAGACTCACTCTGTAGGCATTTTGACACGTGCACAGATCGAGAAAAGTAAGGTTCCAGACCTCACTCTGCAGTGGAGAACGACAAGGTTCTTCGGCCAGTTCTTGCCTCGCATAATCTGAAGCTGGAGAAAGCACAGTGATGAAGACGTACGTGTGCTTCCTTGTGTGGGATCCCAAATCTGTCACTTATAGCATAACGCTGTCCACAGTACATTACCAGAGCTCAGTTCTCTCGCCTCTGAACCACGCACAGGAATGAGGGTTCTGATGGTGCCACTGCTACCATATCGAGGGAATCAACACAATGTGAAGAATCCGATGTGATACCAGCTGCATGATGAATATTCTCAGCTACTATTGATAGACTTCTCTCCTAAACTCAATTTTTCTCATATAGAATTTTCAAGAAGGTACAAACTTATTCAAATGAAATTGAAATTTCATACAGTCCTGGGTGATTGACTACTTTGGGGTTATTCAGTTAGCATGAGCTGGGATGGTGACTTACATATTTACTAAAATAACGAGAATAGCACCCTTCCCAGATTCTAATGGGCTTAGTGTTTGGTTTGATTTTAGCTGCCTTCCTGAGAACCTCTTACTTAAGCAATCTAGTGTCCAAGGTGTCAAGGCATCTCTTAGATCCACTTCACAATTGTTCTGATCTCCCTCGTGTGTGTGTGTGTGTGTTTTCAGGGTAAAAATTATCCTGCTACTTTTATTTAATTGTTTCTTTTAATTCCATTTCTCCCGTGTCCTCCCTCAACCCCCAAAGATAAAACCTGTTCAGAGAGTTAGAATGTCTCAGCATTTCAGAGTACTTCATGTTTTCTCAGAGAACCAACGTTTAGGTCCTAGCACAAATATCAGGTGTTTCACAATTTCCTGTGATTCAGGTTCCAGGGATCCTATACCTTCTTCTGGTCCCTATAGATTCATTCTCATTCTCTCTCTCTCATTCTCTCTCTCTCATTCTCTCTCTCTCTCTCTCTCTCTCTCTCTCTCTCTCTCTCCTCCCCCACTTTCTCCCTCCTCTTTTCCCCTCCTCCTCTCCCTACTCTCTCAAACATACACACAGACATATACTCAGATACAAACATACACACAGTATCCATATTCACTTTAGTATCCACCCAGAGATAGATAATAACAAATAGTATATTATATCTAACCCTTTTTTTGTGTGTCTATAAGTCAGACTTTTAATATCCCCATATCCCCATAGTTCTAAATCTACATCCTTTTGCTTACCTTTTTGTCAAATGACCCCTGAGAGCATATGGCCTTTTCTTCGTCATCATCCTGCTATGTCATACTAACCTCAGTGGTGTCAGTTAGCTCAAGTGACTGTAACACAGTACCACCGACTGAGTGGTTTAAAGCAACACAACTCTTTTCTGTTAAATCCCTGATGGTAAGATGTGGACTTCTGGCTTCTGCTGGAAGCTCTGAGGGAGTAATCGTCTCTGTGCTATTCCATTTGTGTGGTAGTCACTGGTCATCTTTGACATCCCTTGGTTTGTAGGTCCCTTACAATCTACTCTTCTTCATGTGGTACTTTCTTTGTGGTCCCATGTCTCTGTGTCCAGATTTCCAGTTCTTACAAAGACATTAGTCACTAGTGAGGAACCACCAAGTTCAGCATGACTCTTCTCTTGACTCTATTTGCCACAGCGCTATCTTTAAATAAGGCCACTCACAGGTACAGGGAGTCAGCAACAGAATCCGTCACTTTGGGCAACACAATTCAACCCAAGAACTGTAGCTGTTTATTATGTCTGTCTACTTTTATTTAAAAAGGCAGTACAGATTTTAAGTTTGTTGCTTTGTCTTTGTTTCAACTCACTGCAGTTAGTCTTCTATTCACCCACAAGCTCAGGCAGGTGCTGAGCCAGGTCAACGGGAGGATGCAGGAGGAGGGGGAGCTAATATCCTTTCAGATTCCCACAGCAATCAAGTGAATGGCCTGGCTGTACTATACTGGCACCAGGGAAGGGGCCAGATGAGGAGGGGACAGAAGCCACAGGTGGCAGCAGAAACAGAGCTGAGGGCTTCCTGCAGCTGCTTAGCCACCTGGCTGGACAGCTGTTTTCCCTCTCAGGGAGCTATGTAAAGCAAGGACTGCCCGACTTACTGCAGCTTCTGAGAGTTACAGGACGCCAAAATGCCTGCTCAAATCTGTCAATTCCAGTGAGCAACTGTTTGGGGTGGGTGTGACAGACCTAGTGTTGAAGGGCTGAAGTCACTAGCCTGTTTGGTTGCAAAAAAAAAAGAATGTGCTTAGTGTAGACAAGAACTGACCCACATGTACCCAGTGTCCATCTTGGTTGTCTAGTAGAGGGCTTGCTTACTACAGGTGGGTTAACAGTACTTTGCACAGGGTGTTTTAAAAGGTATGATTTTTTTTAAAAAGTCAAGTATGTATCTATAGTTAATTTGATGGTAGATAATACTAACTCTGACCTCCAGTTAAGCCAAATGATTCCTCCCAGATGAGTTTAAACTTTTTTCATTGTTAAATTTGTGCACGTGGTCATTCTTATGATTATTGTCAAAGGTTGACAATTTCTTTTCTATCTTGAGTACAAAAGCCTACATTAGAGCCCAGTTTTCTCTGTTGATCAACGAAGTCCAAGCTTTTTTCTATCTATCCCTTTGTCCATTTTGTCTTCCTAAAGCTGGATGCATGATGCTGGAGGAGAATCTAGAGAATAGAGGCCTAGGTGCTGGAGAGGACCCAACATCCACATGGCGGCTTGTAACCATCCTTAACTCCAGCTCCTGGGGACCCAGTGACCTCTTCTAGCCTCAGTGGGCACGGGGCACACATATGGCACACATATGTACATATAGGCAAAAGAGTCATACACGTGCAATAAAACTAAATCTTTTTATTAAAACCAAAGAAAGGGGGTTAATTTGGCTCACTAGTGTTAGATGCTGAAAGTTGAAGATCGATTGGTCTTATGTTTGGCCTTCAGGATGGGGCTACTGCAGGTACAGTTTGATGAGTGGCATCTGTGAGCACAATGGGGTGTGTGAGAGAAGGAGAGCGTAGGCAGGGGGATGACAACTGTGGAAGATAGGAAAATAGCCACATGCAGAAGGAGCCAAACACATTGGGCAGACCCACTTCAGAAGAGCCTGTTCTCTTGTGAACTGACTCCTTCCACGAGGCCAACATTAGTCCCTCCCAAGGTTGGTCACCTAATTACCTTGCCCTGGATCCCTGGGGCTTCTGTTTCAGGAAATCTGGGATAGGTCCCAAGAAGCTGTGTTTCTAGTGACTTGAATGTCCACTAATCTATTAGCCGACCCTGATCCTAGCAGCATTTTCACACTGTTTGCAAGAATCGAAGCTGGGCCACTATTCATGTCTGTTGCTGACTCTACGTACACCCCGTAACCTTCATTTCCTCATTTGCAAAATGGGGATAATGAAAGCGCCTACCTTACATGGGTTATGAAGATTTAAATACAACTAAGCCTGTAAAATTCGCCCAAACTGGCTATGATTTAAATCCTTTCCACCAAGAATTTATAATGTACGGCTGTAGACACGAGACTGGCTGAGATGAACAGCAGGGGAAGGCTAAGGGCTGTGAGCAGGAAGCTCAAAGCAACCATTCCAGGGGATTTCCAGCAGGAAGTGGAATGTAAGCCGGGTATGAGAGGCACGGAAGGCAAAAGAGACAGATAGCACAGGGCCTTGGAGATGGAGCAGCACCAGCGTGCTCATTGGTCAGAGAAGAATGCAGACTTCCTGTTCGGTAGGAAGCTCTGCCAAGTGGCAAAGGAATTTTGCCTCGGTTCCTGGAGACCCTGCGTGGGGGCCATGGAGACCTCAAACCCGTTCTTGAGATTCCTTTAACACTGGGGGAAATTGCAACACCCTGTTTCTCACCCCCACCCCAGCTTGTTGGGGCTGCTCAGTGGGAGAGCCTCACGCCCTCCCTGTTTTGTTTACCCCACACATTCCTGCTGCTGGGTAAGAGAGGCCCGGCCGCCTGGGCTTGGGAAGCTTGCTCTGACTTCTAAGAAACAGGAAGTGATTATTTGCCCAAAGCAAACAAACTCACTAACTACAGGGTTCATGTTCAGTCCATAGCTGGAGTCCCAGGAGGTGCTAGTGTAGGCTGAGGATGTGAGGACCCAGCAGTCTTCTCCTTCCCACTTCCCTGCCAAATCAGCACTGCAGTGACCAGCAGGAAGCCCGAGCTAAGTAAGCCCTGGTCTGGAACGCTGCATTCCTGGGCCAAGCAGCATCCTTTCCCAATGAGGACCTCCTTCCCATGACATCAGCAAAACTGCTTCTGTTTCTCCTGGAAGTGGAAGATCAGTAACCTTCCTCGTGCCCTGGCTTTCCTCCAGGAAGACAAAGAGAACACTTATTGGAAGCCCTTTGGAGGTCGTGACTTGAACTTGGCATCTGCCTTCCGCGGGCTTTTTCATACGCTCTTGCCACAACCTCAGTGAAATAGACACATTTGCGGGTGAGAGAGGGGCCCTTTCTTTACCGGATCCGTGCAAATGCCTCTTT